CCGGCGGGGGCAATGTCGCTGCTGTGGGTTGTCCCGGGAGCCTCCGGGCTGCAACAGCGCCGGGAGGGGAGGCAGAGGTGGCCGCAGACGTGAAGCGATGGATTGAGGCTCCGGGTGGAGGTTGATGTTTAGGGTTTTGCTGCTCTTGAAAAGAAAAAGGGGCGAGTTTGCGAGTGCTGTTAGGGTTGGGTGAGTGGAGGGGGGAGCGGAGCGCTGGGGGTCACTGCAGAGCTCCCCTGCGAACACCCTGCGTGGTGCCAGTCGGGGTCTCTAGCCCGTGCCTTAGCCTCCGACAAGTAAAGCAGGGAAACTCCTTTCTCTTCCTTCCTCTAGGTTGCCTTGTCTAGGTTATAATATCCGCAGGAGAGCAACTTTTTTTTTTTTTTGAATGTATGTGTTTTCCAATGCACAATGGTAGCATTAGCACCTTAAAACATCAGCTTTATTGATCGGTATATTTGTTACTAATTTAATCCTGTTCTTTGATATTTTATCTTTAGGCTCTTTGTCACAGAAGTCAGGGTCTACATTGCTGACACCACTTTTCTCTCACGGACCTCAACTATTTAACTCCATTGGCAGCGAATGCCAGGACCTTTGGGTGGTTTTTGAGCGTTAATGACTGCATCGTCACAAAGCTCTTCTCAGGTATTTGGTAATACTATCATCCATACCGTTCAAATTGGGAAACTCCAGCCCCGAATGTGGAGGTGCCCAGCTCTAGCAAAAGAGTTAAAGGTCCTGGGGTTAAATCTGTCACCGTTCAGTAAAGCCGAGAGCTTTATCTATTTGTCCACGATCACAGACACGATTGGGGAATGGGAGCTCTCTGTCCGTTTAAAGATGGTATTATCCCACAGTCGCAGCCTGATAATACAGGCTCCACCAAAAGTGGAGCAATTCCTTCCCCAAAGTGCAAGTGCGGTTTCCACTAAGTTACTCTGTGGACTTGTCGACTTGTAGAGTTTTGCTGTCTTTGTACACTGGAAATGTTAGGCAGTCTCTTGTATTCATATGAATTACGCTGCTTGGCAGAAATCCCTTATTTTGTGTAATTCATTGTTCATTTTTCCCTCTCCCCTTTAATAATAAGGGGAGAAAAAATAAGATAAAAAAAGAACCAAGGTTTTAATTCCTGTTTGGGTGCTGTAAGCTGGGAATAATTGTCTACAATCTAGCAGTGTCTTATTTTTAGTAAACCAATTACAATTTCACAGTAAGTCTGTGGTCGTTGCCGAGTCTGAAATGTCAGAAAACACAACAGCATTCCCATTTTCGCTAGGTATCCATTTTGCGCATTGTCGGCTTGGTTTTTCAGAACTCAGAAATACGATACTCACCTTCACACCAAGGCAACGATAGAGACAATACAGGTGGTGTACTGATTTAACTACGGTTGTATAAAATACTGGTAGTACAACTCTCAATGTAAACAAGCCCGAAGTCATTACTGGAGGCAAGGCAACAGGAAGAACTGCCCCAGAAACTTTATTCTGAGAGCTCCTGCGTTCCTGAAGGCCCTCATGAAAGCACGACATGGTAAGCAAACCGTCTGCTTTCATCGCGCTGGCCCCTGAGCCCTTTGCAGGCTGAAGGCTCCCCTACCACAAAGCCCAGAAGAGGCTCCGTTTTCAGTCCTTCCCCGAGGGAACGGAGCCAGGCGGCAGCTGCTCGGCCGATACGGAACTCTCCAACCAGCGTCCATCGTGCTGCCGAACATGAGGACGGCTGAACGTGAACGGGGACTGATGGAAGACGTCGGGAGCCACCATGTTACGCATCCTTGTGCGGCCATGTGCGTCCCTGGGTCCGGCTAAAACCCTCCTGGGCGCCAGTGAGCCTTTTCTGCTTATGGAGCCTTCTAGAGTTGAGCAGAAAGCCCAGGTTTAGGGTGGAGAGAGTAAAAATCAGTGGTGCTGGCAGGGCATTCATTTGCCAAGCAAGGCTAGCCCCGCTCCTGGTCATTTATGCTGCCTGGACACCTGCCAAAGCCCACAGAAATTAGTAGAAAAACCAACTGGATCAGGTCCATAGAGCCTGAGGACTCGCTTCCATTCTTACCCCTTTGATCCAACAAGAGTATATCTTTACCGAGTGGGGCCTCACTAGCCCTCTTTGTTGGCCAAATGCAGAAGTGGTAGCAACAGGTTTTTCATGCGATTTAATCGTTTTCTCTCTCACCACATTGGGCAGAAGTCTCTTTGTGTTTGTTTCTACACGATTTCAGTGCTTTTATGTTCTTTTTTTTTTTTTTTTTGTAGGGCATCTTCTTTGTGGTAGTCCAGTTGCATTTCAGAGGGAGAGTCGGGGCCTGAGATTGTTCGATACTTGCAGGGATTGAAGGTATTTTCAGTGCATTGGTCATAGCGAGGTTCATTTGCAGTTCTTCCGAACTTTTCCAAAGGTTGATTCATCCCATGCAGCGAGCAGCAGGCATTAGAAGGATCGAATGCTTCATTCCCTCCTCTGAGACAGGGAGGAATTTAACCCCAAAGGATGCTGAGCCCTGTGGTGTTAAGGAGCTGCCATCGGTGTCCATGGATCTCCCCCAATTTGCAATCTACTCCAGCATTTACCCTGCAGTCAAATCCAAGGTCAGCGTTCAGGGGGTTGCTTCATTTGCAGTCAAGTCATAAAAGTGGGCATGACCTTCCCAAAGATCTTTTCAAGCACGTCATCTAAGACTCAAGGAAGCATTAACTTGCGCTATTGCCATTCCAGACATTAATCAGAGCATATA